ATATATCCAGAGAGTGCCCCAGAATAAGCCTAGTGGTTGCAAAAAAAAAATCCCTTCCCCTTTCTGAGCACTGAGACACCATCTTCTGCAGAGCCTCTTTACAACTTTGTCAGGAGGAATTAGCTCATCTTTCAGACTAATTATTTCTGGGGTGAAATTTGAACGCAATGAATATGCTGTTGACACTGGGCTCTTGAAAAATCCTTTAGCCCATGATCTGTGTCTCTTTCCCTCTCTCCCTCTCGTTCTCTCCATATGTACTTTTACATGTATATCTGCCTGTGTGGCACAAATACAATTAAAATTATCTGGACCAAACCAGTATTTGACCAGCATGTGAGGCCTGAAAGGATTTCTACACACCTGGCATGGGAATATGTGTATAGAACACAAGGGGAGGGGAAGAGACCAGCTCTGTTTATCTCTAGATGGGCACAAAAATGCACACACATCTCTTCACAGGGCATGTGAATCAATAAACATGTGGGCATTCTTTCTTGGCACTAGGGTAATCTCAATTCCACCTTTTTTGCTTTCTGTGTCGAGGAAAAAACATTCTCCCTTGTTTAAATGGCAGATGTCCACTAGGAAATGAACATTTCACTGTGCAGAAGAATGATTACTTTAAAAAAAAAAAAGGCAAATGCACAAATCCCTTGGAGACCCTTTCTGCTGTTTTAACAGTGTTCAAGGTTATTTGTTCTTTTAGTCCCTTTACTAGTAAGTTATACTGTAGAATACTTTTTTCTTTTTAAAAAAGGGAGAGGGAGATAATGTGTCTTATTAACTGCCCTTTCAAACATTTGGACTTCTCCCCATCTGCTAAACTCTAATAGCGATTGCACTTTTCCTAATGCAATTATCTGATTTTTTTATCATCTTCCTTTATCTGCTGCCTCCCTCCCCTTGCCATCCCTAACTTTCCGATCCCCTTTCTGGCTGGATGCAAAAATCTGATGAACTGTTGTCTGGAGTGTGGGTTTTCTCTGAGGCTTTCTCACCAATCCCCCTGCTTTTCAATAGACATCAACATCCCAATATTCTTTCTCCTCCCACACACCCGTGGTTGCTTTTGCTAGACTTCTTCCTCGAAAAGTCAGAAGGACTAAACGCAAGGAAGAGGGGGCAACGCAGGTTATGGCTAGTTTATTCGCAAATAAAATAGCCAAAGTGCGAAGGAAAGCAAGCGAGAGAGGACGAGGGAACCATCGAGACCCGTAACAATAATAATGCTCGTTAAAAAAAAATCCCCTTCCTTCGCCCCCTGCCGCCCTCCTTTCCCAAATCACATAAACCAGCTTTCCCCAGGTTTGTCAGCCCCTGTAGCTGGAGATCCAAGGGAAGGACGCCAAGAATTCTAAACAGCAAGGTAATTTCTTTTTATTGAGCACTGTGCCAGGAGGCTGTAATGCCTTCCCGGTTGTAAACAAGAATGACTTCGACTTACTAGGGTCCAATTCGGTCTTTTCTTCTTTGTGTTTGTTGGAAGCGATGGCCTCAGATTCCGGAGAGGGTATAGTCTGCGGGGCTCTGTCCCTGAGATCTCCCGGGGATCCGTACATATAATCCGGATAACTACGTCCATCCACCGGTCCGCAGTCCCTGCGGCCGTGGAAGGCGTCGGGTTTAAGCCCGTAGTGCCGGCTGCTGGCTGGAAAACCTGGGAACGAGACCGCGCCGGAGATAGGCTCCAGCCAAGTGCGCATATACCGAGTGTCAGTTCCAATGTGTGGCTGGTGCGTGTACGGGTGGTAAACCACGGACGACTGGGAGTGCACGGGAGCCCACGAAGTGGTAAACACGGCCGGTTTGGGGGCAAAGCTGCAGGACGGAAAATCTGCACACTCCGGTACCAATCCTGACGGTCGGGCTGCGGCAGGATGAGAGCCCGTGGCTGGGAACCGGGACGCCAGCAAGTCGTCGCTCTCGTGGCTAATCAGAGAATCTACATAATAGTTGCTTATGGGACCCGAAGCCGACATTGTTCCCCCCTCTTTTACATTCATAAGATTATTGTATGAACTGTATGTGTACTTTTTATCTTCTCATAGAACAATCAGGGCAGGTAATTATTTTTTCAGCCTTTCCTAGCTCGCCATTGGCTCCGTGATCCCACGTGATTGTATTTACCCAAAATACAGTGTAGATCAATCCGCAGGTCTTTTTTTCCCCCCTCTTCCCTCTTTCTATTTTTTTTTTTTTTAAATAACGCCTATGCGACTTGGGTTTTCATCAAACTCTTGAAATAATGCCGTTATTAGCAGCAGCGGTCGGATCTTACGTGCCGTAAGCTGAGAGGCGATTCGCTGGCTGGCAGGCTGGCAGGCTGGCTGGCGCGGCGACCTGGCTTTTCCATAGCCCTGCTGTTAATGAGGGTGTAAGGTATCTGGTGTAGCAAGGTAGCACAGGAACTATTTCTTGACGCAATTTGTCTCTGTCTACTCGTTCTGCTTCTACAGCTTGTATTCGATAATGGATACATTACATGGAAGATCTTTAAAAGGGGAGGTGGCCGATTGAAGGTCCTCACGGAGTGATCCTGCTAGTTTACAGCCTCTCCGGCACCGGCCCCTGAATTTTAATTATATTCATATATGTATATGTATATGTACACACACGTACATATAGACATATACACACTCATTTTTTTGCCAGATAAAACCATCTGTTTCTGGACAACGCACACACACGTGTAGGTATGGAGGGAGGGAGTGGGTGAACACACACACACACACACACATACACACACGCAGACACACAGACACTTTCTGGGAGGAAGAAGAAGATGACTTTGTAAACCCAGAGACTGGAAAATAGCAAGAACCCCCAAAAAGTGGCATTCATCTTCCTGAGAGGCTACATTATTCGGCAAGTAGTTGTAGATGTTTTTATGTCCTTCAATAAAAATTTTACGAGGATCATTTGATTGTTCATGAATGTGTCGTTCACTAAATAAAACTGTATGAGTAAGTTTCAGTTATAAGGCATAACTGGGAGTGAGGTAGCTTGTTTCTGAAACTGAAGACAGAAAGCTAGGGTGTGTTTGTTTAGAGCAATTTATTCTGTTTTCCTGAATGAATGTGTGTATCTGTGTGTGTGTGTGTTTGTGCGCGCATTAAAATGTCTTGAAACTTTCTGTTGACTAAATCGATTTGCAGAACTTCACTCGAATACACGTATGTGTGTGTGAGTGTGTGTGCGCATGCACGCGCGTGCGTGTGTGTTAAAAAAAAATAACCTTGGCTTGGTAGAGTAAGGTGATTGGTATAGTTTATTACCCTTAGTGGTCTGGAAGGGTGGCTTTGGTCTCTGGCTCTGGGAAAGAAATCTGCAAAAGGATGCCTCCCTCCCCACCACCATCACCAGCTCAAGAATAAGAACACAGCAAGAGCGGCAGCGGCAGCTACTACTAGCCTGTTTTTCCTTTCGTGGTTTTGTCAAGGAAGAATCAAGATTTCCAATATAATAACAGCAGAGGCGGCTCGGAAGCGAGGTACAATTGTAACCAAGCGGAGAGAAGGGGGTTGCAAGGCATAAGAAAAGTGAACGCTATAGGGGGGGGAGGAGAGAAAAGAGACATTCAGAGGGCAGAAAAAGAGAGGCGGGGGGGGACGTGTGCCCCAGAGAGATGGAGTAACCACTAATGACACACTCGAGGCTGCGGGCTCAGGTCTTCTCTAGATACAGGAGCAGGCAATGGGCTTGTTTTCAGGCATCTTGCCGAAGAAATCTGCTGGTGCATTTGGGCAGGCGGAGAAAGTAGCAGGCACAGCCATATCCCTGAAGACCTCTCGGTTAATGCTTATTCACTGGTTATTGTCCTCCTCCCCCTCTTTCTTCTCCCTTCAAAAAGACTCTGGAAAAGTTGTTTGATTGAACTGATTAAAGATTCCTGAGTGCATATTAACTCAGGAGTCCTTGATCAGTGTGCCCCAGCCTGCCCTGGCGGGCGTAGTGAAACAGTATTTCATTCCATATGGAGCAGGGTTGAAATAGAAATAAGGTTTGGATGTGCTTATGCGCCCCCCTGGGTGTGCGTGTACGCGTGTGTCTGTGTGTCCAAGATTTGAAAACAGGCTTGCTGCAAATTCTGAACTAACCACCTTCTGTCCACAGTTCTCCTCCCGTTTTCAACCTTGCACTTTCTGGAAGAGAAATAGTCCTATAGGAACCTAATATGTCCTTTGGCCTGTCTGGAGTTCAGTTTGTCTGTCAATCAAAATTCTCCAATGACTTCATCTTTCCCCTCTGAATCTTGGGGGGAAAGTTAGTACCTTGGGCTGCTTTGATTATCTTTCCCCGAGGCTTTCCGTGGGTAGAAATATAGGGGCATGTGAGTGGGTGGGTGGAGGGATGAAAGGAAGGATATGAAACGTTGGAGGAGATGAAACGCTTTCTCTAGCTGCACTGAAGAAATATAATTTTCTTTGCAAAGAATCAATCTTCCAACAGATTGACAGACTGAATGGGTGAGGAGATCGCTTTCTTTCGCTTTTTTTCCTTTCCTCTTTCTCCCCCCCCCCCCATATATACACCATCTATATAGAGGGCGGATAGAAAAGCATAACATTACACATAAAAAGGGTCTAGCATATGGATCCAAATCAAGAATAACAGATTATAAGTAGAGAAGGACGTGAACAAGTAAACGCCGGTGGTAACCTTAACAGAAGCCAGCAAGGTCATTAAAATATCCTTGGAAGAAGCATTTTGGAGTTGAAGCGCATACACCAGCCGAAACGTGAAAGGTGCCTCTTTTATTTACAAGCGATCCTTCTATCCTGAACACAAAAACAACAGCAATTTCCCCCAGGGCTGCAGGTTATCCTGGAGCAGTGATCCTGTAGGGCTCGTGCGAAGAACTCTGTTCAGAGGAGCAAGTGCCTCCTGGAAGTCGTGCTATGCCGAAACAAGACAATCAGAGAGACACAAGGAGGTTGTCTACAGATAAAATAAAATGAAAGACATGCCTTGCATCCAGAATATTAACTATCTATCTATCTATCTATCTATCTATCTATCTATCTATCTATCTATCTATCTATCATCTCACAATCCCTCATTCCTAACCAGGAGGTGCCACATGGGACCTTTGAAATGGACGCCTCTCTGGAAAGGGACAAGCTTTGAGTTAACCTTGTCAAAATGGTGTTTCATATTTTCGAATGCTCTTCTTTGGGGACAAGATTTTCCAGCTGCAGAAGTTGAACACACTGGCTACATTTCTGTACACTCTGGCCAGACTCTAAGTAACAAGCTAACTAGCTAACAAGACAAAATCTTACCCTAAGATAAAAGACAGTAAGTCCTTAAAAGAATGTGGCACGTCGAAGTTATTTTCTGTGTGAAAAGAAGAGAATAGTTTTTAAAGGGAGAAGAAAGGAAGGAAGGAAGAGTCGTTTTTAAAAGCTGCATTAAAAAAAAAAGAAGCAGATTGTCATCTGTGACGTGCATGGGAAAAAAGAGTAGAGTGTGACCCCGATTGGAGATTTTATTGATCTTCAATTTAAATATGACACTGAAGAATTATTTTCTAAGCGATTTCTGCCATTTTTGTCTAGGTAGGGGAAGCTGACATTTGGCGAGCAGCCAGCTACCTATATCCCCCTAGCGCACACTTGCACACCAGCCCACACCCACATGCACGGTTGCACAGTTCTTCTTGCGTCCCTCCTTTAGCCCACACACAGACACAGATGCACATCGATGTTATCTGGCTATAAATTGTGGGCATTCCGAATTCTGTGCTCCCCATTTCTTTCTTGGGCTCCTGAAAAAAGTTTCCCCTAATGTCAGAGGCGGGCTAAAAGTCTGAAACCTCGGTAGCCCCTCTCGGCCGCCGCCGCCGCCGCCAGCACCTTAGTCCTTCTCTTCTAGGAAAAGCACTGAAGGTCATGCAAGGGTCTTCCGTTTGTCTCTAGCAGCTCCCGGCCCGGTCTAGATGCCCACTCCAGGCCTGGGGGATCCGTGGGAGCAACCACAACGCCCGCCACGCGCGGGGCTCCCAGCATTCCTGAGCAGCCGCTGGACTCAGGCTAGGAAGCGGCGGCGGCGGCGAACCGGAGGAGCTCTACAGAAGTCGCCGGCGGCCTCGTGTGCGAGCCCCTCCGAGAGGTTTGGCTGACCAAGCGCTGGAGCTAAAGCCGCCCCCCCCCGCAAAGAACCGGGAGACTAACTCGCCCCCCCTGCGGCACGCGACCCTTGGGGCGCATTCCTTCGGTCCCGGTTGCCCAGTTGTCTCAATAAACACCGTCAAGTTCGGATTAAAAAATCCACTTTTTTCTTCTTCCGGGGAACTGCCGAAGCCGCTGTCGCCTCTCCTGCAAGGCCCCACGCTTGTAAACTGAAGGCACCGCGGGGTTGACAGCCCTTCATAAGAGAAAGCTAATCGATCCCAAAGCCCCTCCCCCCGCTTAATTTTTTCCCCGGGTGGGGACGCCTTTCTCCCCTATTCCTCTTCCCGAGCCGAAGCACCCCGAGTTGAGAGGAAGGAGGTGGCGGTGAAGTCAAAAGGACTAACTTCCACGAACAGGCAGCGAGGCTCGGGGCTTGGCCTGGCTTGTGGCGGGCTGTGCTTTATGGTCCTTCTTTCGATCGCCCCGAACTCCCAGTCTTCCCTTCCACTTCCCAGCCTCACTTGCTTTTATGGATAAACCGCGGCTAGCAAAGAGAAGAACTCGGCTACCAGATTCCTCTCTGTTATCCAAATGGATTTTTGACGCGCAGTGCAAGGGAACCCTATTGCTGCTATAATAGGAACAATAGGAGCAGCGATAGTAATAGTAGCGGTGATGGTGGTGGTGATGATGATGATGATGATGGTGACGATGGTGATGGATGGTGATGAAAACAACAATGTCACTTCAGCTAGGCAAAGACCTTGATTTCTTAAATAAGTGGCTCAGAGCTATTTCTGTATGAGAAATGTATAGGAAAAATTGTGTACTGAACTTTACTTCCTATGGACACGGTCTTTCTGTTTAATCCAAGGGAGAAAGGTAGGAGG